CCTCGCGCGCCACAAGTGGTTTGTTTACACTTCTATTGAGAACAACTGGTGCAAGATTGATCAAAGTAGTCGATTGCGTTCAGAAATAACGTCAAATGGAACTCGAAAGAAGAAGAAATATTGTGCACAAAAACCTGGAAAATCCGGAGTGGTCCGGTTCCAAGGTGGTTAAAGTGCTGAAGATGCCGAAAACAACAGTTTGTCGAGTGCTCAAAACCTACAAGGAAACCCTGAGTGTGGAAAGGAATCAGCAGACCTAAAAAAAAACTGGAACCAGGGATCGTCAGCTGCGCAGCAAGGTGTTGAGGTGCGTTAAAGTCAACGCTGGTCTTTCGATCCGAGATGTGGCCAGAAGGTACAACGCCAACTTTCAAACGGTGCGAAACATCCTTGCCAGGGAAGGATACAAGTCGTATAAAGCCAGTAAACATCCGAACCGGCACATGAAGCAGAATTCCATGGACAAAAAGCGTGCAAGGCTCTTGTACGACCGTGTTTTGACGAAACGTCAAACTTAAGCAGCTTCCCGGTCAAAAGTTTTACATCGCGACTGGACGTGAGGATGTGCCGGGAAGATTTAAGTTCGTGTTTGCTGACATGTTCGCGAAGAAAGCCATGATTTGGCAAGTGATTTGCAGTTTTGGCCTGAAAACAGAACCATTCGTCACATCGTCCACGATGACATCGCAAGTTTTCATCGAAGCATGCCAGAAAAAGCGTGTATTGCCGTTCATCCGCAAGCATAGTGGGAAAGTCATCTTTTGGCTCGATTTGGTCAGCAAGGTGGTTCTGGAGTGGTATGCTGCCAACAAGATCGATTTTGTCTCCAAGGAATTTCGATCAGTCGAAAAATACTGGGCAATGTCAAAGCAGCGACATCGACGAAGCGGCGGGACAGTCCAGGACATCCAGCAAATTCGGGCAAAATGGAAGAAATGCACTGATTCAGTGTCCGTTTCCACTGTGCGGACGCTGATGGGCTCCATCAAGAGGAAGGTTCGAGATTTCGTTCGAACTGGAGAAATGTAACCATTTATTGCTGTAACTTTGAAGGTTTAATAAAATTACTGTAAAGCAACCATTAATGGACTTTTTAAACTTATTGAATCACGAGCTACAGGTCTTTTTGTGCGTACCAATTCACTTTTAGTCAGCCTTTATTTATATAAGTTACTTAAATCATCATTGGGACTATACTCAGTCTGCAGACAAATAAATAAATAAATAGCTTGAATCAAAGCTAAAACCCTCTTAAATGTGTGTACCTCTACCCTATTTTATTGGAATTCACGAATGAAAACAAGTTGCTACGGAATGTATAATCCAACTGTAATGACGAAAATGCTATCAAAGTATTTTTAATCAAAAAACACCATGACAATACATTTTCTTGTTTACTGAAAGAGCAGCAAACAAAACACACAGCATCCCTACCGAGCGACTGAAACCCAGGTGCATCCGTTTGCATTTCTGTTTTTTTTTTCACGTCTCTGCAAAACTGCATCAGTAATGGGATGATGCGCTCGCGAATGGCACATCGCTGGGAGGGGGCAAAAAAAAAGCCCGGAAGCAAACAGAGATACGAAACACAGCAGCAGCCAGCGTTGCAAAACATCCATATTTATGATGAGGAAATGCGTCCCGGTGTTGAAAGCATCTTCCCCTCGCTGGGGGTGCTGGCTGGGGTCCGACCGAAGAGATCGAAATATTGAAATCAGCAAAAAGGAAAAATCATCGATTCGAAAGAAAGTGCATCTTCAGTCTGCTGCTAGAGCGAATACCCAGGTGGATTGATGTCTTGGGTGCGGTGGGGGTGAGTGGGGTGACGCGAGCAGCAGCAGCAAGAAAAATCAAGTGAAAAATGCTTTTAACATCAATTCCACTTCCATATTCATTGACGACGGTGATGGCGGCGACGGCGGCGGCGGTTGGTGTTGGGAAGACCGATGAATTGAGTGGGGAAGCGTCTGTTTCATTGAATTTTCCTAGTGGAGTCGTTTTCCTTTGCTTTTTTTCATTTGGCTCTTCAAAACATCACAGAATTTGCACGCTTCGATTAGAGATAACCTGTGCTCGGCTCGACTCGGTGTGTAGATGTAGGTACAGCAAAGTGTACTTCTTCAAGGTGTTGTGGAGAAAAGAGGGCCATCCAGTGTGAAGGCGGAAAGAAGGTGTAGTAGGTATGTAGGTACTCGAACACAAATTTGAGGCTACCGAACGAGAACGGGAGAACATTGATGTATTTCGAGTAATTTGATATCAAGAGGAAACCCGACTGTGGTGAGACGGATGTGTGGCGGATGACCTGAGGAGGCATCGCCGAAGATCGTTGAGTGGAATTTCAGTATCGATGGCTTTCCCGACGGAGGAATTGAAATAAATTGAATCAGAAGCGTTTGAGAGGCTCTCAGTCAGCGGCTCTACGAGTGTTTTACTTTCACGGCCGGGTTTCCAGCTGTTGGATGTACCTGTGATGAAATAATGCAACACGAGGCGAGTGGTTGTTTGTAGCTGAGTCACATTTATTGAATTGCGATACAAGCTTCGTGGCAAGTTCCATGATGTTGATTTTTTTTTAATGGGCAATCATGAAACTCCGTCAGGTAAAACGATGGCAGCACAACTTAGTGCATCTGACAGCTTAAATGATGTACTGTCACACTTTTTTTTTCTCTGCAGCAAATATTGAGTACCTAGTTATCGTCGTACAATGAGTAAGAGCTACAAAATGGAGAGTTGACAACCTGGATGGTGCGTGATACCTAGCTCCGGTCCTCACAAGTTTCTACCTAACGCCTCATCGAGTCATAAGATTGCAAGCAACTATTCACTTAGCAATTCGAACGTAAGCAATTCAAATAATACTGAAAATGATCAAGGTTGCAAAGACTCATTTCAGGTAAAATAATGTTTTTCGGAATAATAAAACCAAAAGATGGTATGATGGCATGTTTTACTTGTAACTTACAAGAAGAGGTTACAAAGTATGCGTTGGAAACATAAAACCTGTAAATTTTGCTTTCTATGAGTCACAATCAGCGATTTGCTGATCGCTGAGTGAGTGAGTGAGTGAGTGAGTGAGTTTGTGAAAAATCGCTGATTGTGACTCTCATGAAGTGAAATAAACAGGTTTAATATGTCAAACACATTCCTTGCAACCTCTTCTTGTATCCTACCAATTCAAAATTTGATCATGGCATCTAATTATTTCATAATTTAGAAAAACATTGTTTTAGCTGAAATGAGTCTTTGCAACCTTGAAAATGATAAACGAATATTTTTTTTTCTCAGTAACAATTTTTACCGAAATAATTTTAACGAAAAAATGCGTTGAGTCGACTGGCTTTCCAGTCTAAAACTAGCTGTCAGTCATGATTTTTTCAGCGTAAAAATTGAGTTAAGGTTTTCTTTTGTAGTGGATTCCTTTTGATACAATCAACAGACTGAAAGTTAGCTCAAACATAATACGGTAAGTTACAGAAGAATGCTGATGCCAAACTGTAGATAGAGCAAGGTGGGGTAAAAATTCGATCTTAGTTGAAAAGCTGGTTTGAGCACTTCGAACAACTTCTTCGAGTTTCGACGTCCAACCAGCCAAGGGTACGGTGCGTCAACTCCAAGGCCCGATCACTGCAGGAGATTGAAGCAGCTAAGGTTGGGGGGGCAAGACAGCTTTTGATCATGAGTTAGAATGTCAAAGAACAATACATTCTAACCTCGTTTCATACCGGAACATCATTCTCAAATTACGTAACTGTTCGTCCTCCGGAATGTAGTCTAGCCCATCACCAATCAATTCTAAACTATTAGATTAAGCATGAGCCTTCTTTGGACATCTATGAATATTTACTAGAAGCCTGGCCCTTGAATTAAAAAGCTCTCAAAATATGTACGAGAGTAAGACCCCAGAAAACTACAACCCTGGAGAGTTAGTCCCACCCGGCAACCAGTTGGACGGAATTGTGCCACACCGAAACCAAATGTGCCAATGGAGCGCCATCGTACTCGCACGAAATCGCCATCGCGAGATAGGACATAATTGGCACGTCGCCATCGTTGATCCAAGGAGCCTTTGGTGGATAGGAAAGTGGATAGGACCCATTTTGGAATTTGAAACTGCATCGGATAGTGAATACCTGTGGATGCTGTGAGGATTTTCGTGCATGCAGAGCATTTTGGATTAGAACAACCCCTGATCATACCTTGCTTCGCTGGAGCACCAAATCAGCAGAAATATCTGCTTTGTACGGGTAATTATTTATAAATTCGGTGTATGTCTACTAGACATTGTCTAGCCGAGGCATTGACTTACCTTATACTAACGCAAACCTTTCGACGCATGCCTTTGTATTCGTTGTATGGAACGAAGCATCTACTGTGGTACCGAGGATTGAGGACAGCGTTCAAATTCTCACCACGGACGATTCAGTGAAGGAATGGTTGTGCATCCGCATAAGCCGTTAGCCCAGATTTTCACTTTTCCAAAGGACGATTGCTGTGGACGGTGGCAGAAGAGGGAGCGACCATTTACTCCCTCCCCGGTGAGTGAACTTTATTGTATATGTCACTGCCTAGATAGACATACAGAAATACACAATTAACACCACGCAAGCCCTGCAATTGAATTGTTCGTTAGAGCAAGTCTGCTGATAAACTCCAATTTGCATCATCGACTGGTTTTTCGTTCTGGTTGGTGAAGCTGTTAGTCCTCCAGGTTAGTTGCACGGTATATGTCCTACCGAATCTAGCCATACGATTGCTACATAGCCATTATTCCTCTTCGCACTACATCCTGCACACACACGTTCTGGAGTTTACATTGTCCGCGATCAAGGTAACGTTTATACCGATTTGGTGTGGAATTTTGATAACTTTGGATTTGTACTGCTGTTGGTACCTCCAGGCGTTTTCTCCTCTTCTGTGTACTTCAACCTAAAATTGAGTGATCCCTACCGAGGCAAGATTGATGTGACGTCATCGGACCTTTTGCTACTATCAAAATGCCACCCACCAACCGGAAAGGATTGTCATCCCTGAAGCAACTGAGGGTTCAATTGGACGACTTGAAATCCTCGTTCGATGACATTTGGTCTTTCATTCTGAAGTTTTCTGATGAAACCACCGGTACTCAAGTCGAAGTTCGATTGGAACGGATCGCTGATTTGTGGGAGAGATTTAGTGAGAATTTGGTCGAGCTAAAATCTCATGAAGACTTCGAAGATGAGGAGAATTATTATAGTAAGTTACGCAAGCACTTGAGCGATCGCTATTATGAAGCCAAAACCTTCCTGTTGGACAAAAGCAAGGCCCTTCGCGTTTCTTCTGAGTTGGAACAGTCCGCCCATGAACAATCAATGTCAGGTGTTGTCGGTCATGTCCGGTTACCGCAGATCAAACTCCAATCATTCAACGGGGACATCAATGACTGGTTGAGCTTCCGAGACCTGTTTACCTCGCTCATCCACTGGAGGACTGATTTACCAGGGGTGGAGAAATTTCATTATTTTAAAGGGTGTCTTCAAGGTGAACCTAAAAGCCTAATCGATCCGCAGAAAATTACCAAGGTGAACTACCAGATAGCTTGGGATACTCTGGTAAAGAAGTACAACAACAACAAGCAGTTGAAGAAAAAGCAGGTCCAATCTTTCTTCAAACTTCTGACCCTCTCCAAGGAATCTGTTGTTGAGTTACGAAATCTGGTCGAAGGTTTCGACCGAGTCGTCCAAACACTTGATCAAATCGTGGAACCTGCTGAGTACAAGGATCTCCTATTGGTGAATCTGCTCACGATGCGACTGTATCCATCAACTCGTCGAACATGGGAAGAATATTCGGCCAACAAGGAGATGGATTTACTGACAGATCTCACCGAATTTCTGCGTCAGCGAATGCAAGTATCCCTTCCATCTAGGCAGACGGACAACAAGTTCGTGCATCAGCAACAACCACCACCGAAGCCGAAAGCTTCAACAATCAAAGCAAGCTACAATTCGATTCAAGTGTCAGGAGGAAGATGTGTGGCTTGTAAGGATAACCACCTTCTATACCAATGTTCCGCATTCCAAGGACTTTCTATGCCGGATCGGGATTCTCTACTGAAATCTCAAGGACTTTGCCGGAATTGCTTTCGATTGGGGCATCGGGCAAAGGATTGCCAATCCAAATTTTCCTGTCGGATCTGCAAGAACCGTCATCACACTCTGGTTTGCTCCAAGTCGGAGAAAAATCACACTGTAACGGTCGCAGCGATTGCTGGGGGCAACCATCCTTCGAATTCCAAGGAATCCCATGGCTCCTCAGGTTCCAACTCAATCCAACTGGCTAACGTGGCAGCCACTGACCTTTCGGTATGCGGTACGTCTAATCAACTCACGTTACAAGTCCTTTTAGTGACAGCAGTAGTCATCGTCGAGCACGACGTTGGTTCAAGGTACCACGCCCGTGCTCTTCTCGATTCCGGTTCAGAGAGCAACTTCGTATCGGAACGGTTAACCCAAAGGATGAAGGTTATCAGGAATAAGGTCGACGTCTCGGTCCCTGGTATACGACAAGGTGCTACCAAGGTCAAACATACAGTCCAAGCGGTCATACGTTCGTGAATCTCGGATTTCTCGCGAGATATGAGGTTTTTGGAGCAACCCAAGGTGACTGCGAATCTCCCTACAACCTCAATCAACACGGAAGGGTGGATTCTACCGAACGGAATTGAGCTACCGGATCCTGCATTCTTCACGTCCAAGGAAGTCGACACTGTGCTAGGCATCGAGGCTTTCTTCGAATTCTTCGAATCGGGGCGAAGGATTACAATCGGCAAACATCTACCAAGCCTTACAGACTCGGTGTTCGGTTGGGTAGTATTTGGTGGCTATTCAACTCCTATCAATTCCCTACAAGTCAACGTCCGAGGACTTGGAAAAGTTGATGACACGTTTCTGGTCGTGCGAGGAGGTGGAATTCACGGACGCTTATTCTCTGGAGGTCCAGAAGGTCGCTACACTGTTCCCCTACCCAAAAACGGAGACGTTCTTCCAAACCTGGGCGAGTCACGGGACATCGCATTCCAGCGTCTTCTCCGAACGGAACGGAGGTTGGCAAGGGACGCCAACTTACGGGAACAATATATCGGATTCATGGACAAGTACCTGAAGCTTGGACACATGCGCAAGGTCGAAGAAACTACGGAGGGACCGGTCAAACGGTGTTATCTTCCCCATCACCCGGTGGTCAAGGAGGCGAGTACCACCACCAAGGTCAGAGTAGTATTGGACGCCTCGTGTAAAACGTCATCCGGAGTGTCCTTAAGCGATGTGCTTCTGGTAGGGCCAGTTGTGCAGGAAGATTTGAGGTCAATTATCCTACGCAGTCGGACGAAGCAGATTCTCCTCGTATCGGCCGTCGAGAAGATGTTCCGACAAATCCTTATGTGGCTCAAGGATCGACCACTCCAGTCCGTATTATTTCGCTTTTCTCCGGACGCGGAAGTCGCAGTGTACGAACTGAACACAACCAAACCCGCACCATTCTTGGCAACACGAACTCTTCGACAGCTGGCTGCTGACGAAGAAGACCGATTTCCGCTCGTGGAAAGAGCAATTCGTGAGGACGTCTTTATGGATGACGTCGTCACCGGTACGGACGAGGTGGATACAGCTATCAGTCTCAGAAACCAGTTGACCGAGATGATGCTGTGTGGTGGTTTTAAGCTCCGAAAGTGGGCTAGCAATGTTCGAGAAGTTCTGGAAGGCGCACCCGAAGAAAACCTGGCTCTTCGAGACCCTAAAGGAATCAACCTGGATTCTGATCAATCCGTCAAAACGTTAGGACTAACGTGGATGCCTATTACCGATACCCTTCGATTCCAGTTCTCAGTTCCTTCGATACAACCTGGTGTCCCGTTGACGAAACGTCGAATATTGTCACTAATCGCAACGCTGTTCGATCCGCTTGTATCGATTGGTACCACGACTTCGTCTGCCAAGATCTTCATGCAGCAACTTTGGACGTTGCAAGACAAGACCGGCAATCGGTTGGACTGGGATCAACCAGTACCTTTGATGGTGGGTGAAAATTACCCGCAGGTAAACCTATTGTTGAATGAAATTCGAGTCGATCGCTGTGCCATCATTCCCAAGGCAGTACTAGTGGAAATACACTGCTTTTCAGACGCTTCGAATAAGGCGCATGGTGGTTGCGTCTGCATAAGAAGTCAGGATTCCAGCGGAAAAATCAAGGTTCGACTCTTATCATCCCGATCCAAGGTGGCTCCATACCGTTGCCAGTCTATCCCACGATTAGAGCTCTGTGATGCACTCTTATCGGCCCAGTTATACGAAAAGGTAAAGGATTCTACTCGGTTAGCGGTTCAGACTTTCTTCTGAACAGATTCAACATGTGTGCTGCGTTGGATCGAATCTACGCCAGCAACATGGACCACGTTCGTTGCCAACATTTGGCTGAAGGAGGCTCCAGCAGCATGGCTTGGTGCTGTCGAAGAAATCCCAAAAGCAGGAGAGGAAGAGAGGCGTCACACCGTAGTTGCGTGTACTGTATCATGAAGTACTGTATAATGTCGATGAAGATAATCGATCCACGCAGATAGGACCATTTGAAATGTTCATCGAGATTTATCTAATTTCCTACATCTTCTCGATCACCCCGTAATCATGAATCCATGACGCCACCGATCTCTCCAAACCAATCGATGATGTGTATTTTCCAACGAATCCCAACACATAAAGTAACCAACGATACAGATAAAAGGTTTGCTACGACTACCATGACAAACTCGCCCTGTAACATAGCTCGATCCGAGTGGTAGAAGGACAATGATATATTGCTTGCCTGCTTTGTTGCAATATACACGGATGAAGACATAGCTTGATATGAATCGAGAAAATACATTACAAAAAAATTCCCATTAACACACGTGTATCATCTTCGGCTTTACTTCGTGAAGCAGCTTGCCAAAAATTTGCTCGTTTCATTGTACAGCCCCGAGTGAGCTGTGTCGCACGGGCTGCTTGTAATGAAAAAAAGGAAGAAGATTATATCATTATTGCTTTCCACTTCTGACATAGCGTTATTATTCGGTTCGTTGATCGCTTCTCATTTTGTCATTTGGAGATATTTTTGATTCCTTGGTATTTTCTTAACTGTCGGTGTCCATCGCAGAGAGTAGAGAGCTTGTCTACCCAGGGTTGATCCTTGGGTGGATGGTATTCACGCTGCTCCCTATCATACTCACCCACCCTGAAATGTCCTATATTTCTGAACAGTTCCAGTTGATGTTACTGTCAATTCCTTCAGCAGTGATGTTATTTGTCACCACTAAGACGATATATACTATCTTGGCTACTGCTCCTCATCGTAATCGACGAGATCATGGTAGGTACAATTGACCGTGTACCAAACCGTGGGCTGCTTGGCAGCCTATTACTATGGAGCACCTCACGACTTCGATGTGGCTGATGATGTTGTGCTATTAGCACAATGACGCTCTGATATGCAGAGTAAGCTCAGCGACCTAGCCGAACGCTCCTATACGGCGGCTCTCACCATCATCGTCAACAAGACCAAATAGTTGGATGTCAACACGAACAACCCTTCCAAATTTACGGTAGCGGGGTTAGCAGTGGAGAAAGTTGAAAGTTTCCAATGTCTTGGCAGCCAGATAGCGTCAGACGGCGGAACCAAGATCGACATGGGTGCACGAATAAAGAAAGTGAGTTTACGAAATGTATGAAGATCCAACCAGATAAGTCAATGCACCAAAATACGAATTTTCAATTCAAATGTGAAATCTGAGTTGATATGCCCCAGCGAGGCGTGGTATGTATCAGCGGAGAACACTCAATAGCTGAAGGTTTTCATCAACCGAGGCCTGTCGTATATAATTCATGCCAGGTGCCCTCACAAAACTGGGTGTCAAATGTTGAGCTCCATCGACGGTGTCATCAGAAACCGATATAAACAGAAAACGAAGGGGCGAAAACGAAATCTGCAAGCAAGCGCTGGATTGGAACCCGGCAGGACTTCGCAGCAGAGACAGACCCAGGGGCTCATGGCGGTGGAACCTTAACAAGGAAATAAAGGAGGTTGAGAGGAATCTGACCCCAGGTCGAGGCAAAAACGATGGAAATCTTTCACGTTGGCCTTATGCACCATTAGGGGTGTGCAGGATACATACATCCCAAGTAACATTTTTGGTTTTATGAGGGTTCTGTAGACCATTATTTAGACTTATAAAATGCTTACAATGTTACTTGGAATGAGTGAGTGAGTGAAAGAGATAGTTGAAAAAAAAATTAAAATCTGATAGGTCCAAGCATTTGTAACCGAACTAATTACATACACAAGATCCTTAATTCAAGGATTTCAACTTTCGGTTGCAGGGCTTTGATGAATTTTTAGTTCATTCGTAGCTAGAGCGATTTTTTCGGAAGAGTGTTCAACCCTCGTGATCATCAGTTGGCTGACGGAATCACTTCTTCTTCTTCTTTTTATTTTCTTTTTATTATTTTTTTTATGATTCTTCCTCTTCTTTGTCTTCTTCTCCTTTTTCTTCGCATTTCAAGCTTCTTGCTTATTGCATATTAGCTTATTGCGTGCTCTCGACTTAGTGTTCTGGATGCACTTCCACAGTTACTAATTGAGAGCTTTCGATGCCTGTATACCATTTTTGCATTAGTATAATTGTGTGGCAAGTACAATCATACTCTATGCCCAGGTAAGTCAAGAAGTTTTAAAAACCGATAGGTTTCTGATGTAATCAATAATTGACCAATTCCCTCAGGGTTCCTGGAACCTGTTCCGGGGCCACTAGATGGTCAATGTGATCCAGATAAGATGATATGGCCTCTTCTGGATGTCTCACAAAATTCTGAGCACAATTATTTGTCGCTCGATAGGTTTCTTATGCAGTGAAAAATGGCCAATTTCCTCAGGGTTTCCGGAACTTGTTTGGTGCCGTCATATCCCAAGCAACATTGCAAGTTTTATCGTGGTTTTATAGCATTCTACAAGTCTAAATCATGGTCTACAGAACCCTCATAAAACCTAAATTGTTACTTGGGATGGCCAATGGGGTTCAGGAAAGATGGTATGGTCTCTTCTGGACTGTCTACAAAATTCAGAGACCAATGATATGCCGTTAAATAGGTTTCTGATTATTAAAAAAAATACTTATGCCCTCAGGAACTGTTCTGAAAACCTTTAAACATCCCTGAACTTCACTGGATATTTCTGAGATTTTCTTAAGCTCATTGGCGTTCTCTGGACTTTCCTAAAATTCCCGGAACTTCTTCCGAAATTGTACGGAAATTAATGGAACTATCTTGAATTTATCAGTAACTACTCTTACAATCTTTAAACTTACCGGAGAGTTTGGACTTTCCTGATGTTATTGGAATATTGCTGGAAGTATCCTGCCCATCTCTAAAAATCCCTAAAGATTTAAAGACCTAACTTCTCTGAGATACTTGCAACTTCTTTTAAGTTTAAAAAATGATCCTCAAGTTCTTTAGATTCCCCTGCCGTTTTCTGGATATCGCTGCAGCTCTCAGAACTTTTTAAAAGACCCTGAAACTAATGTAACCGCTTT